ATATTATACCTGTTTATTGGTAACATCCTGCAGTAGCAGTAGGTAATTGCCGTCGCACGTGATTCTTGAATTTGAAGAAATTGGCACAGGCAAGTCCTTGAAAGGTCCTTGAATTTGATGCTGACCAAGGTGTGGGAACCCTGATAACAAAGCAAATGTAGTGGAAGTTTTCTCAATCAGCACATATTTAAGTGTTTAAATTTTGACCGGATCAAAGTAGAAACGATTTAATTTCCTTTTTGTTAAATGTGTTTCCTCTTGATTTATTTATGCAAAAAGGTAAAAAATTAAAGTGCATCAGTGTTTTAAAGATGTTTCTTCTTTTTTTAAATCCATTCTGAGCAGGTRAAACTTGATCTGTCTTTGAAGTATTGTGAACCTCCAGCCTCTGAAGGTAAACACAGCATTTCATCTGCACAAGTTTAGCTTTTCCCCCCACCTATCCTAAACTGAAAATTCAAAAACAAACACTTTAGATTTATCAGGAAAAGTGAGGAAATGCTTAAAGTGAAGACTTCAAATGACTACAACTATTTTACATTCATTTTATTTGCACACTTTATGGGTTGTAAGTTTTAAAGATGACCTTTGACTTGAGTACTAACATTTTTATTTGCAGATGTTAAAGCGGCGGAGCAAAATGAGTCGGTGCAGGAAACCTCAGACGGTACACTCACAGATCACCACAGGACCCAGTTCGGCTGCAGCACCCCTCAACTGGTTTCTCTCGTCTCCTCCTCACTTCCAGGCTTGGTGGATTTAAAGGCGCTGATAGAGCAGGAAGTCAACCAGGGGATGAAGCGCGTGTCTGAACAGCTGGAGGAGCGCTTCAACAGCCCGGCCACGGAGACGATAAAAAAAACAAACAGACCTCAAAATGACACTTGATGAAATAAGAACAAATTGAACCATTTGTTTTAATGTCAATAAAAACATTTTGTCCACATACAGTACAAGTTATATCTGCTCTTGTGTGATTGCCTTACATTTCTCAAACAGGCACTTTAATAAAAGAATGTTTTCTTGTTAGATTGAAAAGTGGGAATGATGTTTTCACACAGAATTACACACAACCTACTTTCCTAATGTTCAACTCTCAGTACTACCAAGCTTTAAAACAGCTATATGTTTATAAAAATAATTAATATTTACTCTTATTTAGAAATGCTCATGCAGTGCTTAGAAACTAATGCTCTCCTTAATTGCAGTAAACTTTCAGCAGTTAAAATCCTAAATATACAGTGACGGGTTTTAAATTATTGTGCAATGTGCTCTTTGCAAAGTGCACTGAACATGATGCGATCTAAAAGGGCTTCACAAACTCACCATCTCGGATCAACACACAGATAAGGAACATCGAGTCCCACGTGCAGCTTGAGCTTGCACGCAAACGACTCGACAYGTGGATTGCACATATTTAAACAAAGAAAAATTCAAACAGCAACAAGACGAAAAACCTCACATGCACAAAGTTAAATAAAACGAATAAAAATAAAACCGACACGTTTGGGAACGAGGGTGAGCGTTTCTACGCTTCGAGCTCCTCCAGCCCCAGCAGCACGGTCTTGGCCGTGTTCTGGAAGAGCGCCGCTCGGTTCTGCTGCTCGCCTTTCTTCACCCAGTGGCCGTAGATGCGGAAGGCGCAGCCGTCGATGAGCTTGCGGACGCCGCGGAGCGAGTAGGGATCTCTGGCCAGCACCTGGCGGGTGAGCGGCCGGGCCCGGCGGTACCGGCTGTAGATGCGGATGCAGGCGAGCACGCTCAGGATCAAAACCTGGAGGACACAAAATGAAGGAGACATTATTATTATTATTATTATTTTGCACGCTCATGTGCAGGTGGTAGAAAAATCAAATGAAAAGCTGCAGATCACCCTGAATGTTTTTCTGGGACTGAAGAGACGCACGTCCTCCTTCTGGTACAGTCTGAAGAAGGGATGAGMCAAGGCTTGTTCTGCAGTGAGACGGGCAGCTGGCTCCAGCACCAACAGCCTGGAAATCTGACAAACAACCACACGTTTCAGACACACAGTTAACAAAATTCACTGCAATACAAATATGTGACCCGTCACATCGAAACRAGGRTTAAGWCCAAAAGTGAAATGTGGAGAAATAGGTAGATGTAGGATTTTGATTTAAACGTCTGCAAAAATTGCATTTTGTCAAAATATAATGAAAAAATGCCTTATCAATGTATAATTTGAATGAACTGTCTGAAATATAATCCTTAAAATTTTTTTTGAGCAGTAGCAACAACAAYAAAAAAAGTTTTTGAGGAAAAACGCCTTAAAATTTAGAATTATTCCCTGTGAGCTAGCAATGTTTTTGTTTCTTGCCAACTGTGAAATCTTAATAAACAATATTTGATGTTTCCTGTTTATATTAACATAAAAATGACTCAATAAATTTACATAAAATTAGGATTCAGACCAAACAGTAATGTATTATCATAACCAACAAAACAAATTAAGTCATATCTCTGGATAAGCTTATGATAACAAAACGATCCAGGTATCAAAATGTAGCTTTTAAAGACCAGAATCTGATAAATGTAATTGGGTCATTTTGAYCAAATTTGACTTAATCCTTATTTCGATATGATGGGTCACATATGGGTGAAATTAAAGGCCTGGCATYCCTTTCATGAGTTTTAATTTAAAATTATGATGAAAAATGATGGAAATATAGCTGTCTTAGTCAAACTCTGAATAAACTTTATGAACGATCTTCTGCTAATTACTAAAGCATGAATGAAAAAGTTTCACTGAAATCCTTCTAGTGGTGTACGCGTTATTTTACTAACAAACAGTGTTGACTTCGACAGCTAGTGCCAAGATTTTAGGCAAAGATGTTGCTCAATGTGCTGYGTTTTAACCATCCAGAATGAAGAACGGTATCTCAAGACTTCAAAGGTGGTCGACTACATTCAAGAGCTGTTGTTTCACATGTGATGACCACAGAGCCACAGGTAAGCTGCATGTCTGTGTGATTCTGGCCAAGCAGGAAGAGGCATTACTCTGCAGCTCAGAGCAGCTTTAAAGGCACAGTGTGTAGGATCTGTTGTTTTCAGCGACATCTAGTGGTTGAATCATCCTCCCTGGTCCTCCCCCCACCCCCACCCCCCGCTTCCAAACGTAAAGGAGTTGCTACGGTGTCTCTTAGGTGTCAAAAACCTTTGATAATTCCAACCGCGATGTCTACCAGCAGCTTCAGGGCTAGTGATGTTTCAAGAGGTAAGATTATGAGCTTTAATAAGTAAAATTATCCCAGCTACAATGACAGACAACAAATATYACATTTWTRGTATTACAACTAAAACCGTTTTTGACGCCGCCACCRCAKTTTGTCCTTCATGAGCCTTCGTAGACAAGATGGCGGTGCAAGATGGCGGCTGTCTGTAGTGGGCACCCGCGACCATGGAGATATAAACAGCTTTTTATAAGGTAAAAATAATAAAACAAGGTCTTTGTCTGCAATGATTAGACATGTTTTTTTTTATTATTGTCATTAGTGATTATCTCAATTTCGGCTAAAAGAATTGACAAAATCCTACACACTGTGCCTTTAATGGAGGTCCATCAACAGCTGACATGATGTTTGCTGTCAACTCAGAGAAAAAAAAAATACTGTGAGCAACACTTGCGGCTCCATATCATAATTGTTGATCTCATCAAAGCATCTGACAAGCACAGGCAGCTCACGTGTTGTCAGGTCCATATCTATTTGGACACTGACAACGTTTTTTTTTTCCAGTTTACTGAAACATATTCAAGTTATAGTTACATAATGGACATAAAGTCCAGACTTTCAGCTTTTATTTGAGGGTATCCACATTTAAATTGGATGGTAGGTTTAGGAGTTTCAGCTTCTTAACATGTGCCACCCTGTTTTTAAAGAGAACAAAAGTAACTGGACAACTGACTCCAAGGCTGTTTCCTGGGCAGTGGTGGGCAATCCCTTCGTTATGTCATTCTCAATTAAGCAGATAAAAGGCCTGGAGTTGATCTGAGGTGCGGTGCTTGTATTTGGAAAATTTTGCTGTGAAAAAAACATCAAAGGAGCTTTCCCTGCAGGTGAAACAAGCCATAAGCTGCCAAAAAATAGAAAAGACCCATCTGAGAAATTGCTACAATATTAGGAGTGGCAAAGTCAACAGTTTGGTAAATTCTGAGAAAGAAAGCACTGGTGAACTCATCAATGCAAAGAGACCTGCACGCTTGCAGAGTAATTTCCATGATGAAGAGAAACTCCTCCACAACATCCAACAAGGGCTGCCATGATTAGTCGACAACTAAATGACTATTAAAATAGTCGATGACCAATTTGATATTCGATAAGTCATTTTTTTTTTACTTTGTTTTTCCTCCAAACAGCTTTGACACCTTCCACTGCCACATCTGCCTTTCTGTCCTTGACACACATGCACAGTAGTGGTAACTGGGGTAGGCGTGGACGTCACAAGACATTATACAGACAGGCTCTGGTATCATGGCTACCCAGCAACGAAGCTCAAAAGTGTGGGATCTTTTTAAGAAAATGAAAGAGAAGCCTGTACAATATCTGCAGAGCAGAACTTTCCTTCCACAGGAATTATTTTTAGTTAGCATATAGCTAAAATCTAATGATGGTTATGTAATAGCAGCTGCATTTTGGCACGATAAGCTGTATGTTTTATATTCAATTAACGTATGATCCGATAAGTCGACTAATCAAAATAAATAATATGTGATTAATCGATTATAAAAATAATTGTTTATGGCTGCCCTACAACCAACCAAGTGAACAATGTGGTGGTGGTTGTCGCATGTGCATCGTTAAGGCCCACCGGTTCATGCCCAACTTTAGAATCGACATTTGTCAGTTCATGCAATCTGTGCCGCCTCAAGACCAAGTTGGCTAAAACAACTCGACGGTGATTTCCTGTGCGCCGATGACAACACCAAGTCGCACAGCTGTCTGCACAACGCTGCCATAGCATTCAACAACTCTTGCAGAGACTGGGGCCTGACAATAAGCAAGAATTTAAAACTGAAGCCATGCCCATGAATTGCCCAGAKCYACCTCACTCCAACAATAATGGATGACTCTAAGATCAAGAAAGTACACAAATTTACCTGTCTAYGCAGGGACCTTGAGACCTTGCCTACAAGGCAGCATTAGTCCAACTTTACAACACAGCAGTGAAACCTGGTTAGGCCTCGCYAAACAGCTTCACACGCTAGAAAACCTGCCCAAAACTTTTGCACAGTACTGTAGAAAGTGTAGAAACAGTTTATGTTTCAATTTGACCATTTCTTCATGAGAAAGACYGTGAGCTCACCAGGTCCTTCACAGTGTCGGACCGGTCGTCCCACTCGGGGGAGCTGAACTGATAGCGGCCCTCCATGATCATCCTCAGCATCAGCATCTGTTTACGGTGCCAGAACGGCGGCAAGCCGGCCAGCAGKGTGAAGAGGATGACTCCACACGCCCAGCTTACAAACAATGCAGAAAAAAAAGAGCGCAGAAGTGAGGACAAGATAAGACTTCTTTAGATAAACGTTGCAAAAGCAGGACAGAAACTTACAGATCGACCTCCTGGCCGTAGCCTGGATGCAGTTCGTCCATGGAGCACTTCAGTATYTCCGGGGCCAAATAACCAGGCGTTCCACAGAGCTCTGATTAGAACCAAAGACAGATTTTCAACCTGATGATGCACATTCCCGTTGGCTCAGGTAGAACCTGCAGGCTTACCTCTCAGCTTCTGTCCAGGCTGAAGCTGAACAGAGAAACCAAAGTCRGACAGTTTAATGTGGCCCTGATCATCCAGCAGGATGTTCTCGGGTTTCAGATCTCTGTGAACGATGTTCAGGGAGTGCAGGTACTGCACGGCCTCTAGCAGAGCTCGCATTATGCACCTGCAGAAAGAAAAACACAGATTTTACATCTGCACAATAAAGTGCATCAGGTCAAACTCCAAGGTGTCCACAACGACAATTACTGTAAATATGTAAAGTAACGTTTTTATAATGTTTCGATAAAAAAAACACCTTTTAAAACCTTCAGTGCAGAGATAAACTCTCTTTACAATTTAGTGAACGTTTAATAAAACCCTCAATTTAAAGCTTATACAAGAYGTTTTTCCTCATCTGTGGTGCAAAGCATTAATAATAATTTAGAGACATTATTATTAATATTTGTTATTTGGAAGCATCACATCTTTTCAGCAACAGACTCGCCATTTTCAACAAGACCACGCTGCACCTTTAAATCTGAGGTGAAAGAGCTGAAGTGTGTAAAGTGGACTGCCTGCAGGTATGCTATGAAATGAAAAGTGAAGAATAAATTAAAAAAAAAAAAAAAAACGGAGCCAGCAAACTGCTGAGCAGCTGAATACTCATGACGCAAGAGGGCATAACAAAAGAAAAAGTGTTGCAGCACTGTGGCCAACACACCTGCTGCTGTAGCATGTTTGTATAAAATGGAAAAAGGACAGCTACATTGAAAATAATGCATTTTAAATATTAATAAAATATTCAACGCATCTGCACTATGATTTGCAAGTCGTTACACTTTGTTTTTCACAACCATGTTAGAAGAAATAATAGTTTTTTTAGTCACTTTGTACATTGCTCTGGAGAAAAATAAAATATAATAMGGGAAGCAGCAGTAATGTAAGCCTGTACTGAAGTCAAACTGCCAGAATAAACGAGTGAACGGAACACGTAAAGCTCACCTGGTCTCCTTTTCACTCAGGGTAACTTTTTCTGTGAGGTAGTCAAACAGCTCTCCTCGCCTCATGCTGGTGGTGAAAAGAGAAAGATGAGCACCTTTCTGAATTGTTTACAACGGGCGAACTGTGCATTCTAGCCCATTTTCTTCATACTCACAGGTCAAACACTAAAAATATGAATGTTGTGGACTCATAGGAATCAATCAAGGTGACTAAAAGAAATAAAAATAGTGTCAGTAATTCATAGGAAAAAAAAAAGAAAGTATTTCTGCATTTCTAAAGAGCAGAACTGCCACCTACTGATGGAGGGGTGCCCCTTCACCATGTTGAGGACGTGGATCTCCTTCAGCGTGGAGTTCCTCACCTCCTCCAGCTGCTGGACCGTCATCTTCTCTGCTGTGATCTCAATGATCTTCACCGCCAGCTCCTGACCTGTGTGTCTGTGCACACACCTGCGCACCACGCTGCTCACTCCTCTGTTGACAGGCATTCAACATAGTACAGCGTGTTCTCATCAGCTCGCAGGGCAGAGGCAGGCCAGTCCTGCTCGCTGCTTCACTGACTCTTACCTGCCAATCACCTCTTTGGGGTCGTACTTCTGGTAAAACTCCTTAGCTCCCACCCAGTCAGGTAATTCATCTCCAACAACGATGTCCTTGGTCATGATCGTGAATCTACAGGAAACAAACTCGGTCACGTGATCTCAAAGTACAGAACTACTGAGCTAACTCCTGATAAGTTTTTTTTTTATTATTTTTAAAATTTAATTAAAATAGGCTGACTACACCTGTAGCTTTTCGAGGACAAACTAAAACACAGTTTTTTTTAAAAAATAAGCTCTTATTCTTGAAAGCGTTGTTGGTTTCGGCCTTGCACAGACCGGCAGGTTCGCTCGCTGTCCGAACAGGAAGCTACCCCAGTAACTCGCCAAACAGCGAGAGGAAGGAGACTTAAACGGAGTCAGTTTAACAAAGCCATTTCACAGCTCACGGGTTTTTTTTWTTATTATCGTGAAGTCATTCAGATAATCCCTGTTAGCGAAGCTCCGAGCTCTGTTTGCGTTCTGGTCAAATTCCTTGAAAATCGTTTGGAAACCGGTCACTGTCGGAACGAAGCGGTCGGAAGTAGCAACACTGCCCCCATGAGGTCGGAGAGGGAATCGCAAGGGGTTGCATTTATTTTCTCTCAGTGTGAGTGTGCATTGACAAAACAAATTGCTCGATGTCGTTAGATTTTTCTACATCACTTGGGAACGAGTAAATTAGTACTGTTTAATAACATTCTCATTTTTAATTAACTATTTTGTTGTAAACCAATGATATGTTGTATGAACACTAGGTGGCAACAGCGCTCCCGAGTCTCAATAAAAATCGTAGAAGAAGAATTGTTGACGCTGTTTCCTGTTGCGTCTCTCGATGCTCGGAATTATATTTTCAGTCGCTCTTTGCTAAGGTGTGTAAAATAATTACTTTTCATTCAGTGTGTTTTACTTAACGTGAGAAATATCAATGCAGAAAGTGTAATGGTGGCCAGACAATGAAAACAGATTTTCACAAATGATTAATTGTGCTGTACAAAGAGCGATGTGTGTAGCTAACCGGGAGTTAGCATTAGCAAGGTGTTAATTTGAACGGAAAACTAAAATTTGTTGGCGTTTTGAAGACAGTGGATGAAATAGCAAAGAATTATAGTATACGTCCAAGAACATGCAGCTCAAAAACGATGGTTCTCTTATTCAAAAGTGGCGTTTCATGTGGCCTCTAACTCTCTTCAAATGAGTCGTTGCTGAGGACTCCCAGCATTTTCCAGAAACTCCTTCATTTACCAGGACCTTGTCAAATGACAGTAATTTGCATCTCTTAGGGGAGATTAAGGATTACATGTTTGCACACTCTGGTGCCGGTGACTCATAGGTCATGACAGCAATTTGCATCCAGCAATTTGCATCTCTTGGGGGAGATGCTGAACTTGAAAAACTTCAAGTTTTTACTTTTTACTACACTATTTACTTTGGTGCAGTGTCAAGACTTGGTTTTTGAGTTTCACTGAAATGTCACACACCAGGGAAGTTTTAACAATTTTATTAAAAAATGTAC